TAAATCAGGGAGCAAATGTGAAAGTCTGGAGACTGTGTGTGTCTCTTTTATCTCCTTGTAGTCCCCCTTTCTTCTACTTTGCCTCAAACTGTTTAAAAAGCACCACTTTTTACTGACAATGAGAGCATTTACCCTCCACATTAGGTAAGTATAAATCCTTAAAGTGATGTCAAACTGCGTCTGCTGTGTGAGGAAAAAGGAAATCAGTGTTGATCTGAGTTTATGTGCTTATACAATAATCGTCACTCACAGGAAGTCAGGAATGTCTGTGGAGGTTTCAATTGTTATCCCTGAAGTTTTTTTAGTTTTCTTGAGACCTTTTTCTCACAAATGAACTAATGTGTAGAGTTTATAAATGGCTTTGCACAGGCTGGATACCAGACTGCAACTGAGGTCATGTCCTCTGTATTTATTCAACAACTAAAAATGTATTAATGGTGGGTAACGTTTACAATCAATATACTTAGATTTTACTACTTTGGACTAAATATACTTAAATATTACTACTTTTAGATTCAATTTTACTACTTTTAGATTCAATATATACTTATATTTTACTACTTTTAGATTCAATATATACTTATATTTTACTACTTTTAGATTCAATATACTTACATTTTACTACTTTTAGACTGAATATACTTACATTTTACTACTTTTAGATTCAATATACTTAAATTTTACTACTTTTAGATTCAATTTTACAACTTTTAGGCTCAATATACTTAAATTTTACTACTTTTAGATTCAATATACTTACATTTTACTACTTTTAGATTCAATATACTTATATTTTACTACTTTTAGACTGAATATACTTAGATTTGACTTCTTTTAGGCTAAAAAATTTAATTTTTTTTTTAGGCCAATATACTTAAATTTTACTACTTTTAGATTCAGTATACTTAAATTTTACACTATTTAACTGAATATACTTAACTTTTAGATTCGATATACTTATATTTTACTACTTTTAGACTGAATATACTTATATTTGACTTCTTTTAGGCTGAATATACTTAGATTTGACTTCTTTTAGGCTCAATATACTTACATTTTACTACTTTTAGATTCAATATACTTAAATTTTACTACTTTTAGACTGAATATACTTACATTTTACTACTTTTAGATTCAATATACTTAAATTTTACTACTTTTAGACAATATACTTAGATTTGACTTCTTTTAGGCTCAATATACTTAAATGTTACTACTTTTAGATTCAATATACTTATATTTGACTACTTTTAGACTGAATATACTTAGATTTGACTTATTTTAGGCTCAATATACTTAAATGTTACTACTTTTAGATTCAATATACTTAAATTTTACTACTTTTAGACTGAATATACTTACATTTTACTACTTTTAGACTGAATATACTTATATTTTACTACTTTTAGATTCAATATACTTAAATTTTACTACTTTTAGATTCAATATACTTAAATTTTACTACTTTTAGATTCAATATACTTACATTTTACTACTTTTAGACTGAATATACTTATATTTTACTACTTTTATTATTTACTTTTAGATTCAATATAGTTAGATTTATTAGATTTATTTACTTAAGTATTGGAGAACTAGGGATATATTTCAATATCAGTGTCTGTAACATACTTAAGTTTGGGGAATATAAATGTGTTTTCACTTTTAATTAGTTTGACATTTTGGAAAAAAAGCTCATTTGCTTTCTTGCTGAGAATTAAAAGAGAAGATTGAAACCACTCTCGTATCTGTAAATTTAATATGAAACTATAGCAAACAGTCGGCTAGCTTAGCTTAGCATAAAGACTGGAAACAGGGGGAAACTGCTAGCCTCTGAAAGTTAAAAATTAATTTTAAGCTTTGTATTTTGTAAAGATTAAACAAATGAGATATGATGAGTTCATAATTCTGTTGGTAGGAGTCCGACCCAGGCTAGCTGTTTCCAGTCTTTATGCTAAGCTAAGCTAAGCTAAGCTAAGCTACGCAGTCTCCTGGCTCCAGCGTCATATTTAATGGACACATGTGAGAGTGGTATCAATCTTTTCGCCTTACTTTAGGCAGGAATATGAGTAATACATTTCTATATATATACACAAATATATTAAAGGTAGTAAAGTTTCCTGCTTTAATGCAAAGACCCTTAACAATCATTATTTTAAGTTCATGTTAGTATCCAGTATTTCACTTGTTTTTAATCAAATATTTAACTAATTTCAAGGATTTTTATAGAAAACAAATGAAAGTAATCAGTATTTCACAAGAAAATAGTTAATTAAGTTTCACAACTACAATATCAGATAATCATAAATAACACAAATATAGGATTAAATCACTAACAGCAAATACAGTGAAAGTTAATGTACAAGAAACATACTACTGTGATTTGTTATGGGGGAAATACCTTCCGTTACTAAAGATTAAATCAACGGTGGAAAGTAACTAAGTACTTTTACTTGCATTACTTTAACATTTCCCGCTACTTTACACTTTGACTGCACTAATGATTGTTATTACTTTATTTTATTTAAACAGCCACTTAATTATTAATATATATAATATATATTAAAACATAAAATAATAAGTATTGTTACTTATTAAACTACTCAGAGGTAAATTAAACACTGACAGGGGAAATCCTGCATAATGAGTACTTTTACTCTTTATACTTAAAGTACATTTTGTTGCCAATACATTTACATTTGAGTATAAATGTGATGCAGGATTACTTGTAATGGAGTACTTTTACCTGTAGTTTTGTTACTTTTACTCAAACAAATCATTTTAATACTTATTTTACCACAATTTCTACCTTTTGCGTATATATTTATCCATTAAAACGCGGAGAAATAAACGTATTTATTTATATACAACAAATATAAACGTAAAACCTCTCCAGTAACGCGCCTCTGTTGCTCCGCAGTTGTTATTCGAGCTGTTTGGTGAATTTCAGAGTCTTTCATTAACATCTGCAGATTGAATTTGGAGCATTTTCTTCTGGCTGTTTTTGGCGCACATCCAACGGTGGCGCAGAGTCGGCACGCAAAAATCTGCGGCGAGGATCTTTCTCCAAACAAATGAGGACTTTACCTTGTATAGAGCGCAATTAGGAGCCGTCTGGCCTTTCAAGGGGGTCGGAGGGGAATAAATCTCGGTTGGTTATCAGAGTTGGCGTGGATGCGAAACCGCGCGTACGGGGGGCAATGTGCTTTCTACTCCCCCGCTGAAAAATAACTCTTTCTCCCCGCTGCTGGGCAACTCTCTCAAACACAAATGTATTACAATTCATCCTCCACAAAGCAAGCAAAGTCTTTTCTGGTTTAATATTTAAAAAAAAGGGCTGCAGGAAACCCCTAATTTGGTCATAAATGAAGCCAAAAATGCGCTCGAGTCCCGCTTTTAAATCCGTGCGTAAAGGACGCAAATCATTCTGAAACATTATATTTAGTGGCCATTCAGCAGCAATTTAAAGCAGTTTAAATGTTACATTTCAGACATACATGTGTTGTAATTTAACGCCATTAAATGCATGTAAAAGCGCGTTATTCAATTAGAAACATGCCTCGTGTAAACGCACTTACTTTGGTCGGAGGTTGCAGACTATTTGGTGAGTTTACTCTTCTCGCTGTTACCAAAAAAAAAAAAAAAAAAAAAAGCCCCTCTGTCCGTCTCTGCCTTTCTTCCCTCCCCCTCCGTTTGCTTTTTGTCTTCCAGGATCCTGAACTTCTGAATCAAATTTCAGGACGGACAAAATACTAGGCTTTTCCTCCGCCCACACAAGTCTTTTTTTTTCTTTTTTCTCCCCTCTCTCTCTCTCTCTCTCTCTCTCTCTCTCTCTCTCTTCCTGGGTACCATGTCAAACACCATATGGAGCAAATAAAAGCAGAGCAGGAGGAGGGAGGAGGCACTTTCTCTCAGTTTACCTTCAAATTCAACATTAACAATCACATCCATCACAAACACCAGTTTATCTAAACAGCACAGTAAACATTTACACTGAAACTAAACCTCAGCACTCCTCTAATACACACACACAGGACTAATGATGCCACATTCATCACTTTAATATCATTATAGCTGCAGCGCGCAGGATGATTGATTTATTTAGCTCTGATTTAATATTAATGGATCATTAGAAGTAATTTAATGACAGGCCTGTGCCGGAGATTGCTGTAGTGATCAATAGAGTGGCTGCAGTATTTAAAAGTGAGTTTATATTGATTGTTTTGTGTCTTTTCTGTAATATTCTTACAATGAATTAGACTATTAATGATTTAAGCCTCTTAAATGTGAAGATTTGCTGCTTGTCTTTGTTTTATCTTACTGTAGATTAAGTATATTTGTGCTTTTTACTGCAGAAAATTATATTTGAACATGTGAAATTAGGTCTTTTCTCATTATTTACTAAGATTTTATAACCTAAATATTAATTAATTGAAGAAATAACACAGATCAATCATTATAGTCAGTTTTGGCATTTCTACATTATTCTTCTATTTCTATAGTTACATATTAAGATGTTTTGTCTTTCTCAGCAATAAGTTAACTTTTTTGTCTCTAGTTGTTTGAGGAGGTTCCAGAAACAACTTTAGATGCTGTATAAGATCAGCTATATCCAAAATAAAGTTGTGTAAAGTGAGTAGATAGTATTGAACTGTGAATAGTACTCTTGTATTAATTCACTGTTAAATGATATCTCACCTATTTCACACATCTTTTCCATTTGCTCGTGGCTCTTTCCTGCTGCACAGGAAGCCGTGAGTTTTATTTTTTCAGCAGAATTTTTTAAGGAAACAGAAGAACAACATAACACTGCTGCTGTAACGCCACAGAAACTCAACTACAAACCCAGAATGATGAAGATCATCACAGATATCTGATTACAGACTCTCCAGCAGAGAGGATGCTGACTAGAATACGTATTATTTAATCATTTTAAACATTTAATCCACTTCCTCATTAATGACATCGCTTAAAGTAAAGCCAATACAAACCGACAGCAGTGGTTTATTGTCCCGTTTATTATTAGGGTCATTTCTTTGCATTAAAAAAGCATATCTAAAATATACAGAGATAACAGACATTGATTAGCAATATAATCAATAAATAAAAAACATCAACACTATAAACAAAATAGTTGAAGTTTTATCTTGTAAATATACACATACACTGGGTAGCAGTTTATTGCCTTGTTGAATGAGTCTGGGAGAAGACGGTGGTGGTAGTTGGGGGGGGGAGATGAACGATCAGCAGCATGTTTGAAATACCGATCAGCCGTCCTTTAAAGTAATCAGGGAGGACAGAGGAGGGACGAGCAGGTCCGCCACAAACCAGCAGGCTTTAGGTTCCAACTGGATACTGCTTTTAGCCAAAGCATAAAGAAAGCAAACAAGAGCTGTGAAAGTCACATAAAGGAGTTAAAGTGAGGGAGGTGGGGGGGGGGGGGGTCCTGTTAGTCCTCCGACAGCAGCCTGTGGAAGTGATCCTTCCTCTTCTTCAGCACCTCCCGAAAATCCTCCTGAAAAAACACAACGGGAGAGATTCAGACTGGATGATGAAACCGGGGGAGGAAAAGACAGCAGGCAGATGCTGCAGCAGATAACCAGCTGTTTTATCCACAACTGACCCAAACATCTGCCGGCTGCACCGAGCGCGACTGTACGAACAAAACCCTTAAATATTAATGGATCGATACTTTAACACAGTAAATACTTCATTGATCTGATTCCAGCTTCGCCTTTCACACAAATTCCTTTTCATTATTGATTAATCCGCTTCTTATTTCCCTGACTAGTGGCTTGGTTTGTACATAAGAGCTGCGACAGTTAAGTTTCTAATTAACAATCGACAAGAAAACAATAATCTGAGTTTCCAGTGTATAAGATCACATTTTCACTGTAATAATTATATAACTTTATTTAAATCCTCCATTTACAGGATCTAAAATCTCTCTCTGGCGGCTCCTAATGTCGTTATACCGAAAACAAACAGACAGACGACAACAATCTGACGACTGGACCCATCGTTAACTGTCACAGCCCAAACTGAGGGACAATTCTTTGTCCTCTTTTCTTTATTCAAAAATTACCTCTATTTTTTATAAAATTCATCTTAAAAGGTTAATTGAGGGGAAATTCTGTCCATATAGGAAGAGAAACTAAGTTTGCCACATAAACAAACAAACATGTATGAATGAGAATATGTCAGACGTACGGCTGCAGACAGTTTCTCCATGGAGGGGACGAGCTTCTGGAGTTCTCTGTCCGCTGACTCCCCCGACCAACTCTTGATGGGAATCGTGTTCATCAGCTGTAAAAACATCAAAAAATCAAATCTCTTTTTTTTTTGTTTTCACTCTTCAGTTGATGATTATATGGATGAGTTTCACTTACAAATCTAAAATACAAGTGGTGATATTGTCAATAAATCCCATGAAAAGACAATAAATTGATCCTATGAACAAATATTATCTGTGTAGTGAAGTCTGACAGATCTTATTCGTCTGATAATGCTCCACTATTATTAAAACTCATTTCAATTCATTATGATGAACACAGCAATGTGGTTTATTCTGAGTGAATCCTATGAACATTGTCCTGCTGCTGTAAAGCACCAAATCCACAGCTGAACTTACAACTGCAGTATTTAGTCCAGTCTGAGTGATGTGCAGCAGCTCTTTTATGAAGCAACTGAAGTAACCATTTTAAAGGTTTACTTGAGATTGTATAAAGAGACAGACTAACACACTGTTCTCACAGGATTTACTGATAACACTACAGAATATCACCGGCTCTGTCTGTTAACAGCAATGGAAACAACAGTATTATGAGTTAATCATCTAAAAGTCGCAGCTCCATAGTGCTCACATGGTACGGGTATGTGTGCGGCGCGTTGTCCAGAACGACTGTCTTTGCGAGATCCCTCCCGAGAATGTTGAGATCTTTGATGTAGTGTCCGAGGACGCAGGCACAGTCGTCCTGATACAGACGATGTCTAAAAGGTAAATAATCAACAGGTTAAAAACATTTACAGACTTTCCTGTGAGTGTCAGTGTGTAAGAGGTGTGTCTCTCTCTATCTCAGATAATACAATATGTATTAGTGGCCACTTTATTAGGTACATCTTTATAATTTAATGTAATCCAGCTTTAAAATGTTCTCTTTATTACTGAGGTCGTACATTTAAAACCTTAATACATTTTCATTCATCCCCACTTTAAGCTTTCATCAGCGACACACTAACAGACATTTACTAGCCGTTAATTGTAAGATTAAACAATTAAACAATCTTAGTTTGTGATAATTGTTTGGACCATTGTATCAAAGCAACATTACTCAGGCAGGATGTGAACGCCTATTATCATTTTGAGGTCAGGAGTAGTTGTAGGGATGGTGGTGTAACACAGATTTGTGCCACCTCACACAAACCTCAGACCACTAGTTTACCACCCGGGGGACCTTCGTGATACGTTATCAAGCAGTCAGTGGGTCAGTGAGTGTGGTAACAGCTGTTTACATAGCAGTAATCCATCATCCCATTACACAATGATAAATACAGGCAAACTTTAGTATTAAACCTCTTTGCACAAATATATTTTAAAAAGAAGATAATGGTGTTTAAGAGTTTTTAAAGGGCCCTTATTGTGGCTAAACTGGTGTATAAACTTTTAAAGTAAATAAAATACTTTAAAAAGACCCAGTTGACACCCTGTTATCGATCAATTTGTATCTTTACGTCCATTTTTCTGTTATATTAACCACCTGAAGCCAAAAGGACAACTAAGATCTACTGTCCTCACTGTATGATATGAACACATCTGCATTCATCGTCACTACACTAACGTCAGCCAACTTCTGTTACAGGAGAAGACCCAAAGTGACCAACTAATGATGGTCCCATTACAAACATTTCTGAGTGATAAACCTGGAAGAGTGCACGTATCGGCAGTCAAGCAAAGAGTTTATGAAACACAAGTGGAAGCAGATCTTAAGGAGACGTACCGAAACAGTTTTCTCTGCGGGTCCAGGATGTTCAGTATCTTCTCAGCGTATTCCTTCTTTGCACACGTGTAAACAAAGAGCTGTAACAGAACACAAACAGCAGCTGGCACCGATTCAACACAAACAAGGGCTCAAACTGCATTTAGTTTAATTCATTTTCATATACAGAGAAAATAAGATAATAAGGTGGAAATGAATTGGTTCAGATAAATTAAGGGGGGGGGAAGGGTTATGATAGAAGTAAAAGCTTACAAGCTCACAATATTTGAAATTCCACTTTGGCAGAATAAAACATATTATCATTAATGATCAAGTTCACCTCAACTCTCTAAAAACAAACTGTAGACAGCACTAATGTAAAGCTGACTGTACCAATAAACGACCAGAAAATTACATTTTATATTAGATTAACACATACCTCATACATCTTTGACATGGACTCCAGAAACTCTTTGACGTGCGGTCGTAGGATCATGTACACCTGTTGATAACGGGAGGATTAAAGTTAATACATATTCTCCACTTTCTCCTCACTTTCCTTTTCAATTACCTAAAACTGTTGAACAGGTAGTTTACTTAATGCTTTATCTCATACCACTTTAGAAATCTAAAAGTGTCTCCCTCTTCCCACCACTGTTATTGTTAGTTCTGGTATTTCTCCACATTAAGACATTCTCCTGCTTCCTGTCATCGCTCACGGACGAGGACAAACACACTGAAGTGATTCTTCCATCACCCTTTCACCATCTCCAGTTGTTTGCTCGGTTACCTTGTACTGATTGTCCTGGAAAGCCGTGTAGAAGGTGTACTCTGCTTCATCGATCACATTCAGAGAGCTGAACATCAGGGTCTCCTCCTGGAAGAACACAGATCAATGTGACTGCTTCCTCTCGAGGGTAAAAAGGTGATTTTTAAGTCTGTCACAATCTTAGCCTGAAATAAAAGCTCTTTATGAACTCACACTACCAATGTTACAGAGTAGTATGTTTTTCCACAATAGATTTGTCTGAATTACAAAACAGCAAATAAGAACATCTGATGCAAAAAGTTGAGATTGAAGACAGATGAGGAAAACCAAAACAACCACTGTGTTTGAGCCAAGTTCAGGAAAACAATGTGCAGCTATTGTGAGGCAACAAGTATGTGACGTATTACACGTTAACTACTTCATGACAGGGTACTCGGCCTCTCTCAATACAGGGTACAACTAATTTGGACTCGAACCTGGCGAGTTTAGCTCAGCTCGGCGATTACACTTCAACACAACGGTACTGTGACAAAATAATATAACCTGAATCAAAAAATAAAGTGAAATGTTGTTGTTATTTGTGTTATGGACATTGACCGGCACTTTTAGCTGCCAAGACGTCCTCACATCTCCAAAAAAAGAACGAAGTCTAAGTGGTTACTTTCTCGCCTGAAAAAAAAGAAAGAATCAAAACTTAATAAAGTTCCACTTCTAGTCGTCTCAACTGTACTTGGCAGGATGAGGACTTTGAATTGGAACTGTACTTTGTGACTGATGATGTTTCACAACATCATGGGAACACAAGTACAGACAAGGAACACACTGACTAAGAAAGGCCCACTGTTCCTCAAACACACTTTGAGAGACCTGCTCTGCCACAGCTGGTGTGGATTTCAGTTGACGTCGGGCCAATTTGTTCCTCCACATTCACAATCACTGCCGTCTTGTTCACCGTGTCTTAATAAGTTAATGTGTCGTAGTAAGCTCTTCGTTAAGCTCTCCTTCAGTTAATATTTATTTGTCAAGGTTGAAGTTCCACGTTGAGAGTTCTTGTGCCTGTGTGAGAGCAGGAAGCTCCAGATTAAACTCACCAGGTCGACCACCAGCGTGGCCTCTGGAGTGCTCCTGGTCTTGGGGGGAATATCTCTGAGCTGAGGTCGGGAATGCTGAGACTGTGACGGTATGTTCTTGATGAACCGAAAGCTGGGAAAGAAAATATTGCTCTTAGTACTAAAGCACATGAAACAGGACACACATAAAGGAAACATTTGTATTTGACCTACCAGGTCTCTGTTAATCTAGATTTGGTATCGTTACCGGGATGTAAGTAGGGCTGGGATTCTTTGGGAAATTACTCATCATTCAACTGCTTAAAATAACAGATTATTTTTATTCTAGTACACCGTGTGTCAAACCATTCACTTGCAATCTAAAACGTAACTGGCACTTAAGCTTAATGGTGTACTCTAGGTGAACACTACTGTCAGTCCCAACAGAAAAAAAAAGAGAGAAGGCGCCTGAGAGTAAACAGCTTGTTTGTTAGTGTTGGAGTTCGGTGCTCCACTTCACTAACATTAATGTCTGGGAGATGCTGCTGAATGATGAAGTTTTATAATTTTTATAGTTATCAATTGCCAAATGCATCTGAATGCTCGCCTTCTTTAAATAAAAAGCTTCAAAATAACTCTAGGGGGAAAAAAACTCCACAGCTGCACGGTGCTTTCGTGGTCAACATAACTTAATTTTTGGAGTCTGAATTGATTCAGAATCAAAGAAAAATACACTGGTGCACGAGGCTGTGATCAAAATCAGGTGACTTTTTCAGATATGGAAACATAACATTGCTGGAAGTTTGTCAGACTTCTTTTTCATTAATGTTCTTTGCGGCTTTGTGGAGAAGCTGTTGGTCAGTGTGAGAGGAATTATTGATTAATGTTGTCTTTAACTGATTGATCTGATGTGAGAAGATCACATAATAAGTATAATAAGTGTTTATATAACTGATTTTGTGCATAAGAGACTGATTGAGATAACACATTTATTACAGTATTAACAGAAGGTGGTACAATTTGTGCTCTCTCTGCCTGCATGTTTAATCTTGTGCTGCTGCCGCCTTTATCTAAGTTCAATGGCATTCAACTCAGACTGTGTAGGTCCAACCTGTTAACAGTGCTGCTGTGACTCTAACAAAGAACTAACCAGGGTGCTCATTCAGACATGAGGCCAGCATGTTAAACTGACATCAGATCAACATAAACCTCGTCTGAAAGGAGCTTTATACTTACGGATCAAAGACTTCCTCCTCCTCATCTCCAGCCAGAAGGTCAATGGAGCCGTACCCAAACACACCTTGTTCTGGGCTCATCAACACTTTGGTTCCAGCACACTTCACATCTGGATAGATAAAACAACACAAGTCTGTGAGCAACCAGGTAAACTTAATACTCAGACAGTCATTAGAGGAGGTTCCCATGCTTCCTTTAACAGTGAGACTCATTTACTAAAGCTGTTTACAGCATTGTCTCCAACTTGTTCAAAAGTGAATAGCAATGACCCCTACTGGATCTCAGTTATAACAGGACACAGAGTCCTCTGGCAATAAAATAAATACCAGCTGTCAGCTGACCACATTAATGCCCGCTTAGCTGTTCAAGAGGCTCACAACGTATTTTCTATTTGAATCACCCAGGGTGGGAATTTACCACAAGCCACTAGAAAGATGCTGGTAGATTTATTATGGTCGGTATATGCGAGTTTACTCCACCAGGCACTTTCCTCATAACACAATAAAGCAACCATCAGAAGGATGACTGCATATCTCCCAGAGTGAGTGGAAAAGCAGTGAAAGTGGAAAGTGGACAGAGTACATTCTTACTGTCTGACAACACCAAATTAAAATAAAATATCTGGAAGGGTTGTTGATGACTTTGAGGTCAATAGCCCCTAATAGAGAACACAGAGTCTCAGTGACAGTGGCTGTACTCACTCTCTTTGCTGGGTGTGAGGAAACGCACAATGGGCGAGTAAATGTTTCTGGCTGTCGCGTTTCGAGGCGTCACCGGGTCGATCTCTGACAGTATGCGCTCATGTTGCATGATGGGCCTGATCGGAGTCTTGAAGGCCAAATCTACACCACACAAAGACAATCAATCAGTAAACGCACAAACAAACAACAGTGCAAGGTATTCACATTCACGGAAACACACTGTTAAAATATATAAAAAGCATCCCAGAGAATAACCGGGGGCTGTCGAACGTACCTGCTTCTCTGTCATCAACAGCGATGGCTCTCTTCCTTAGCCGGCCACGGGGCAGTGGTCGCCTCGTCAGTGTGGGTATTTCGTCGTCTGACTGGTGGAGGTCATCACCCACGGTCTCTTCACGCTACACACACAAAAAGTTTTTTTAAAGTTGTCAGCGTCTGTGCTGTACTATAACTCAGTTATAGTACGGTAAACATATGCCTGAATTTCCTATAGAAAAGAATTAAACATGACTTTTCTTTGTTTTGACATCAGATCTATATATCGGCCTCCGGCGGCCCTGCTCTCTACATATCAGCACCGGCCATTGAAAAACCAATATTGGTCAAACACTAATAGATACAAAGTACACATCTCACTCTGACGTTTAAAACGTCTATTCAAAGTTAGACTGACAATAAACTGTTTGGGCTTCAGAAACAAAACTAACTAAGAAAATAATTAGTAATAACAAGAATATAATCCAAAATACATCCAAATATCTGTGGAAAACATACACATAAATTACCATATTAATGTTTAAAGAAGCATGAATACTACAGTGACTGACTACCACAGTAAATGCTGCAGAGACTTTGTACAACACTGCAGCAGGAGCCTTGATCGGGTTGTTATTCAAATGCAAAAAGACAAAAGGCTGAGCTACAAAAAAGCAGAACCATTTCAAAGTCTGTAGTTAACTGCACAGAGTAACTTGTTTTACCCTAAAAGGTACTGTAATAGTAGTGTATAATTAAATCATAATATTAGTACCAGTGTATTGCAAGACTATGCATCACTGTTTGTTGTTGTCTTGAACATGAAAATATCAGTACCAGTAACTTCTGTTTTTATTCTAGTATCCATCAATAGAAACTGTACCCCAACCCTACCGATATAGTATGAACCTGTCGTATTTTACTTCTTTAATTCTGCAGCCAGTCACACCAAAGTGCCCACACGTGAGCCATGGACCAAAATTACTCCAGGGAGTGAAGTATACGTCGCTGGAGTACTTAGTGTAAACAGTCTGCACGCGTGTGTCCTGTTGACCTACTTTTTACTGGGACCCTCTCTCACGTTACTGGGCTGTTTAATCCTCTGCTGCTGCATCAATCCTGTGTCAGACGCCACGTCACAGAGCTGCATATCTGACCCTTTAAACCCAGCCATGAAACCACGGCATGACTGGGAAGGATATGTGGCAGAGTATTGAATAGGACTGGTTTTCTTTGTCCAAAGGTTTCTGCTCTTTTAAATAAAAGGGGATGTTTACAATGTATATTTGATGCTGATGAAAATACCCTCAAATTAAAGCTTAAAAGGTGAATTTCTAGGTCAGTGGAGTCAATTTAAGCAATAAAGAGCCAACATATGATAAAGCATCCAAGTAGTTTAGTAGATATTATTTTATATTATCATTTTTGCATCAGAAATGTGATTTTCACTGAAGCTTTTTGGGGTCTGTACCAAACAAACATGTTTTGTTATATCTGGGGAACAAGACTTGTAGGTCAGGGTGCTCAGCAGCACTACAGCACCTCATTATAATGCAGGTTTGTCACACTTTTTTACCTTTATAAAACAAAAACTGCAGCTTCTGCAACTTGGATTTTGCCATATTGTCATTTTGATTATTCTATGATTCATTGTTCAGACCCAGTGGGAAGGATTTATGGCCACTATTGAATAGGACTGGTTTCCTTTATCCAAAGCTTTCCGTCTCTTATAGATTTATTTACAATGTATATCAGATGCAGATGAAAAACACCCTTAAATTTAACTTAAAGTCATAACTAATAGTTTAGTCTAGTAATAAATTTGAGCAATAATGAGGTAAACTAAAAAGTACCTTAGGACCTTTTAAAAACACATTTAAGGCTAAATATAAACTTTTTCCAACTTAAACTTCTAAGAAACATTAACACAATTCAGCAGCATCACAAACTAGTCTTCAAAAAAAGACGACTGAGCTGAATCAAAACCTGTTTCAGACAGTTTCAACAAACAAACTCAGACTAAAACCTTCGTGCTGTTGAGATTTATTTGTTGTTCAGCTGCGTTAGCTTTGAGCTAAAGTAAGCATGTTGTCCCTCCCATCTGTTTCATTAACGCTGCAGTTTAAGTGTGCAGGTAAACCACTCGTTTTATTTTAAATAACTCAAGAGAAAGTACGAGAGGTTGGGTTAGGTAGAGCAGGAGAGCTAACAGCTAACAGCTAACCCGTTAGCACCGCCATCTGTTTGTTATGAGGCACAGCTAACGCTCACCAACTTCCGGCTAACGTTAGCATCAGAACACCTCAACGGTTGATTAACGGCTACACTAGTGGATGCGGGAACAGCTTGGTTAAATAACGTTTAACATTTTACAGTTTAACATTTTACAGTTTAACATTTTACAGTTTAACATTTACAGTTTGATCGATAATCGTGGATATCGGTGTTTTAGTGAACGGTACCGTGCTCTGAAGCGGGCTTTCGGTCCCAGATAGGCGCGTTCGTTTCGGCGTCGGTTTGTTGGACCGCCGGCGGTTGATCCTCGGCGTCTCCGAGCAACCGGTAACGGTTTTCTGAGACCTAAGTCTCATTTTTCTTCTTTATATAAGTCTCCTAAACATCAACACGGAAACTCCTCCACTGCAATGAAGGCGATCGCTTTCAGTACGAGGCTTTGCTTTGCTTTTTTTTTTTTTTTCCGCCACCACCAGGCTGCGTTCAGTAGTGGAGAGTCGGGTTTAGCTCCGCCCACGCCGCTCATCCCCGTGTCTTCTCGAATCAGTTTGTGTGTTTAAATCTGCCGGGGTGCGATAGGTTCACCGGTGCGGACAGTGCTATTGGGCGGTGCTTCAGAAGAGTCCAGCGTCAACGTGAGACGCGGGTCACGTTGCATGGCGACCCAGTTAATGTGTGATTATATATGAATGAGAAGATCTATTATAATGATCAATGATTTTATTTTAAATAAACAATATACAGGGAAAATAAAACATTTTAACACTTTTTAATCTGAGTTATTATTATTTATAATTATTATTATTATTATTATACAAAAATAAAATATATATATACATTTTAAGATACTCCCTGAGCCTTTTTCTTTTAATTATTATTTATTTATTTAGTAACTCCTTGCTTTATTATATTATTATTGCTAATAAATAATTTTATTACATATAAAACTGTTCTTTTCTGGAAAGTAACTACCATAAGGGTTTACATTGTATGAAAAAACTATATTTATTTGATACATTTTACTTTGCAAATTAAGATCAATAACACAAAATATAATCAACAAATAAAATATGTATTATTAAAAGGTAAAGATTTAACTTAATTGATTGTCATGGTCCACCTGATTCCTTCGTACAGGCAGAAACTAAAACTCTGTAAACCTGTTGCGAGGACATTAAAGCAGTGGTCCAGTGAAGCTGCGGAGGATCTCCAGGCGTGTTTGGACCCCACGGACTGGGATGTTTTCAGGACTGCTACTGAAAGTCTGGATGAGTACACAGAGGCTGTGACATCATACATCAGCTTCTGTGAGGACTGCTGTGTACCATCACGCACCAGGGTGAGTTGTAACAACGACAAACCCTGGTTCACAGCCAAACTCCGTTACGGTTGCAGAAGGAGCAAGCGTTTAGGAGTGGAGACAGGGACAAGTTTAAGGAGTCGAAGTACAAGTTTAGGAAGGCGGTGAGAGAAGCTAAACGTCAGTACTCTGAGAAACTTCAACATCAGTTCTCAGCCAACGACTCTGGTTCTGTCTGGAAGGGGCTCAGACAGATAACTAACTACAAGCCCAAAACCCCCCACTCCATCAATGACCTGCGCCTGGCAAATGAGCTGAATGGGTTCTACTGTTGCTTCGACAGACAAAGGTGCAGTCCTGACAACTTCCCCCGTGACACCCCTCAACAGCCCCACCTCACCAGTCCCCCCACCCACCCCCAGCTCAGCAGGAGCCGGGGCCACTCCACAACTTCACACCTATGTGAATCCCTCCTCCTCCACCACAGCGACGACTCTGCCTACAACAGAGGGATGTCAACAGGCTCTTCAAGAGGCAGAACCCCCGCAAAGCAGCCGGACCAGATTCTGTCTCTCCATCCACCGTGAAGCACTGTGCTGACCAGCTGTCTCCGGTGTTCACGGACATCTTCAACACCTCATTGGAGACATGTCATGTGCCAGCCTGCTTCAAGTCATCCGCCATCCTCCCTGTCCCCAAAGAAGCAAGGACCACAGGACTAAATGACTACAGACCCGTTGCCCTCACCTCTGTGGTCATGAAGTCTTTTGAGCGCCTTGTGCTTTCCCACCTGACAGCCATAACGGACCCTCTCCTGGACCCCCTGCAGTTCGCCTACAGAGCCAACAGGTCTGTAGACGGTGCAGTTAACATGGCCCTGCACTTCATCCTCCAGCATCTGGACTCCCCAGGAACCTACGCCAGGACCCTGTTTGTGGACTTCAGCTCTGCGTTTAACACCATCATCCCAGCTCTACTACAGGACAAGCTCTCCCAGCTCACTGTGCCTGACTCCACCTGCAGGTGAATCACAGACTTCCTGTCTGACAGGAAACAGCACGTGAAGCTGGGGAAAAATGTCTCTGATTCCCAGACCGTCAGCACCGGATCCCCCCAAGGCTGCGTTCTTTCTCCTCTACTCTTCTCCCTGTGCACCTCCAGTCACCCGTCCGTCAGGCTACTGAAGTTCGCAGATGACACCTCCCTCATTGGGCTCATCTCTGGTGGAGATGAGTCCGCCTACAGATGGGAGATTGACCATCTGGTGACCTGGTGCAGCCAGAACAACCTGGAGCTAAACGCTCTAAAAACAGTGGAGATGGTTGTGGACTTTAGAAAGAACCCAGCCCCACCCGCCCCCATCATCCTGTGTGACTCCCCAGTTGACTCTGTGGAGTCCTTCCGCTTTCTGGGTACCATTATCACCCAGGACCTCAAGTGGGAGCTGAACATCAGCTCCCTGACCAAGAAAGCCCAGCAGAGGATGTACTTCCTGCGGCAGCTGGGGAAGTTCAACTTGCCAAAGACGATGATGGTGCACGATCTGGTTGCTCTAGGGCCCTGAGGCGTGCAGGTAAGATTGTGGCTGACCCCTCCCGCGCCCGGCCACAAACTCTTTGAATCACTCCCCTCTGGCTGGAGGCTGCGGTCCATCAGGACCAAAACCTCTCGCCACAATAAGTTTCTTCCTGTCTGCAGCTGGCCTCATTAACAAGACCCGGACCCCCCACTGACAGACTCTTATACCCACCCTTTGCATAACATTAATGCACTCCCATCTTCTGTACAGTTTTCCTATATTTTCTTATCTTTATTTATCTATATATTTTTAAAAAGTTCTTTATTCTTGTGTGATTTTAGTGTGACTTGTATATTTTTTGTGTGATTGTATATTTTAAGCACCATTGCAGACAAATTGTGTAAAAACCTACCTGCCAATAAATCTCATTCTGATTCTGATCCATCGGGGAAACTGTAAAAGCTACCCAGCAGTAAATAAATTAGCTCCACCTTTACCAGTGTGTTAGTGATGCTTACGCATAACTGCATCAATAATCAAAGTACCTCCTGCATCAATGTTACTGATAATGAACACATTTTTAATGAAGACTTATTAAATAACACAATTTTTAAATTAAACTGATTAACATGTTTGCTTAAAAAACACCCAGAGCTCATTGTGACATTTAAGAAAGGTGATATTTTATTAATTTCAGATTCAAAATAAAAGTATTCACACAAACACATAATGAGTAAATAGGCAAGAATTGCTCTTCACCCTTCAAAAAAAAAACAAAAAACAAAAAGAAAAAGTAAATACAGTTGCATTGCCCACTGCCACTTCACCGATACCGTGGTTGGCGGGAAATGTCCCATTCATCAAAGAATGTAATCATTTATAGAAAAAAAAAAGGAGGAATAAGCACACATTAATAGAACAGACTAAAAAAAAACAACTCGCAGTACTGACAGTGGTACTAGAAGCAGTACTCGTTGTAGTACTAGTAGTAGTAAGCTGTTGAGCTGAAGGTTCCCTGTTGTTGATGCTCAAATAAACTAAAAACAGCAGAAGTGTTACGAACCTGTAACACAGAGAGAAACAGAGCGACAGAGAGCGAGAGCCACCCAGTGTCCAAAATGAACCTCTCAGTTCACCTACAGGGTGACGCTTTATATATATATATATATATATATATATATATATATATATATATATACATACATCTTTGTTTTATTTGTTTCCAGCCAAGATAATAATGTAAACACACCACAATACATGTTCTCAATACAATCTCATGTGCGTCACTAGTCTTTAAAAGTACTCTACTGGCATGTTGGAAGTTCATTTCGGACCCTGGCGCCCGCCCTCGCGCCCTCTTTGTGTACCCACTAAACTGTAACTTGAGCCCTCACTGGGTTAAATGCATCAAACTGGAGGTAGAGGTAGATTTTCCTGAGAAGTTGTAAAAGACAAGAGCCTTGTTTCAGTTCTGAAGTTAACTTGAAGACACGTGAAGCCCCCTTTCCCCGCCCACACACACACACACACGCACACACACACACACACATGCACACACACACACCCACACACACACGCACACACACACATCACATGCTTCCCTAAAATAAAATCACATAATTTATCATCCTTTATCGCTATATTAATAAATCTGCTCTAAGTGTAATCTCTGTGTGCGGGGGTTGCTACAGCAAATCCAGGAAGAAAAATAAAAAGCAAAAGAAAGAGCAAAAAAAAAATGATATAAACATGATATAATTCACAGCCCTAAAAAGCCATATTTCAGAAATATTCTATTTAATGAATCTTAGTAATACAGGTTAATTCATATAACATTGTCACAGCAGAAGGCATCTTGTTATTTCTCATCATTTTCCTTGTCCATAGTCCACCTTATGGAGGTAAAGTCAGTGGTGAAGTCCAGTCAAAATCCCCTAAAAACCCCACATGCACCATAACCCGTAAATGTTGCAGCAGAATTTCCATGTCGGCATCATGTGGGGGAGTCGAGACACTCTGGACCTGGTAATATTTTAAAGGAGTTTTTTTTTAAAAGCTACCGGCTCTGGTTGGGGAGTTAAAAGCAGCAAACATTTCAATGACTTTCTTATGTTGTTACATTTTGATGTAGAGAACGAGAGACTCGGAGGGTTTGTGCTGATCAATTGGAAGCTGCAACATCTCAGATTGGAGGGGGTGGGGGGAGTCAGACCCTCAAAAAGCACTACATTTACACTTCTGTATATCGTCGGGAAATCAAACTCTAAGACAAATAAAAATGCTCTTTTTTTTGCGTTAATGCAATGAAAATTAATGTTCTATCTGTACAACGGCACGTTAACGAATGTGCACCAAACAAGCAGACTTTTGAAATCAAATCCAAGCTTTTATAACTGCACACAACAATAATGTAACTTAAAATAAAATAAAATTAAGCCTAAGAACTGCAGACGTTTGATAACGTTTTCTAATTGAATTCTTAACAAGTGAAAGCAGCTACAGACACATAAATGCGGCTGGTGACATTCAGACACAAACCTGTTCTGAACTAAAATCTCTTTTAAAACCTCCCGAACAACCTCTGATTTCATACTAGCTGCTTCAGAGTTTAAGACTGATAGAGTTTTTACAGCTGAGTTGTTCCAATGTTTCCTCAGCTACCTCTGATGTGGAGGAACCTGCCTGACCTGAAAGCTACAGCGAAACAGGAAAGACAGGACATTTAATTACTGAACGTTTACTGTGGAAGTAAATTAACTCTTTAAGTTAATCAGTTTTCAGATTTGACTGTTCCATGAGGATCTAAATGCTGTTTCAGAGGCTTTGTCTCCTCAGTAAAGGACACGACTCTGGAAACACTGGAAGGAAATGAAGATAGGAACACTGAACATCTTTTCTTTGCTGTCTCACACTGAAGGACTTTGGGTCGGACACTTTTGAGTTTCCATTCAGGAAATCCAAACTGATTGTGCGTCATAACAAAACCTTCCACAGAGGGGAGCTCTTAGTAAAGAGGTTGAAGCCTGAACTGAATCCTCGACTATACTCTCTGGGTGCCCTTGCATAACTGAAATCTATTAAAAAAGGCGGGACTCCCGTTTTAAAGCTGATATCTGATTGTCTGTGGTCTTCACAATCTCTTTCATTAGTCTTCACGAGCACTTGATGAGGTAGACACAGGCTTGATTGTGGTTGAAGGGATGTCAAGAGTGTTTGGAGGTATACGGCGTTGTCGTAACGTCCCCTGATTGTCGCTACCGCGCAATTAAAAAGATGCCGACCTTCCCCGAAGATGCTGCCGTGCACATACCGAAAGAGAGAGCGCCGCTGTACCTCGACCGTTCAAATGCAAATATCTCAACAGCCTGTCGATAGATATACGATAAACATGGATCCATTGATGGGTGCAGGTGCTTGAGTGTTGCCTCAGGGGCCAAAAGGTCACAGGGTCAAATCTAAAAAAAGCAACGTTGATCCTTTAGATCAGTATTGATTGGGTTTTTGCTATCTCCAGCAGCCCCCTCCCCCCCCTCCCTGAAACCAATGCTTTCAGTCACAGAATGTCTCTATTTGATTGTCAGCCATTACCAGCAACTGTGACATCTGCTACTCATGCAGAGAGAGAGAGAGAGAGAGAGAGAGAGAGAGAGAGAGAAACAAAAACTCAACAAACTGAATAATCAACTTCCTTTTCTATCGTATATATATAAATGTTACAGGAGTATCACAGAGGAGAGGAGAATAAAGACAATGTAAAGAGATTAAAATGGGTCTTCTGGTCACAGTTCTGGTGTTTATATCTGTAGAGATTATGCTGCACCACAAAGACAAAACACAGCAACTACATATTCAGTCAAAACTGAGTTAAGAGCACAATCCTTATCCTTCCATAAAAGTTGTTATACAATCAAATGTTTATTTTTGAGGAACGAAACAGCAGATTCATAGAAACTATAAATCAGAGGTAAACAACAAACTGCTGTGACTACACTCGGCTAGTTTACCCACTTTATTTCTGTTTCCTGGAAATGAAAGATCTACTCTGATGCTCTGAAGTCTAATTAACTGAGCTTGTTACACCATATAAATAAGAAAATAACTACATCTTAAATCATAATGGAGAGACCTACCAAATGTTAACGAGCAGTGACTGCAGAACTTGTATGACTTCATGTGGTTAAGCTACAGTTCAATCACATATTCAACATGTATTTAATCAAAGATTAATCAACCTTAAATGTAGATACTCTACACTTACTCTACTAGGTTTTTCTGTGCTCGTAATATTTGATAATAAATAAGGTGTAAAATTTTACAGCTTATATGTGTGTTTCACAGTTTGGCTACAAACGTCAAACCCCTTCTCCTCTGTTTCACTGCTGCTGTAGTTACTGCACTCTGACTTTGTAAGGCTGTATGGATAAGAACTTCAACCATGCCAAACCAATTCATGCCTCACATGAGTTCAAGTCTAATCTTAACGCAACTATCTGAAAGTGAGTCTACAGAGTTGGTACTGTACCTAATAATTCACTATGACCGTATTGTAACCTGTTTTTTTTTAGTGGTGTAAAGAATGCCGTTGCCAAAACTACAAGAATAAGACCCAGATTGTGAGGAAAAGTCGTCATACTGCATAATGCTTTGGATAAAGGCGTCAATCAAATGCAGAGAAGCCACTTCAGCATTAGTGTGCGTGGGTACATTGCCTTCCTCGGTAACAAATCTACACTGAGAATCCGATCAATAATCAGGGTTGTGGAAAAAAAGGCAAAATGGTTGAAAACAATGAGGTCGTCCACAAATAGTTCACCACGTAAACAATGTAATTGACTGTAAATTCACTCCTCCAGTGATGATGTTGTGCACACTGCAAATATTCTCTCTCACACACATATGTAAGGCTGCTGACACAAAGCTGTAATCTCACACAGACTGGAGTTTCAGTTCTGCAAATGTTTTCTCAGTTATTTTAAGTTAAAACCCTCGGAGCCGCTGTGTGTGAACAGACTGATAAAATAACGAGGGAGGGGAAGAGAAAGCCAGCGTATAGACAACAATGCAGTCTAGTCCTGCTGTGTTATCTAGGTTTGCTGCTCAGCCTGGATAACGTCAAGTTCAAAGTAGCCCTAATAGTCTTGCTAGCATGCTGACTTCATGAACCCTCACCTAAATCCCACCAACAAAAACACACAGTGACGACGATGACGGGCAACTATAACCAGACTCTGCCTCCAGTTTTAGAGCCACCACAGCAGCAGCAGTTTCAGAAATATAGGTGCACTCACAGAAAGTCCAAACTCCGCCACCTTTAGGTGAGAATAGTAATAACAAGTTACAGTTTTGACACTCGTGACACCCGCAGGCCACTGTTACACCAGCCGCTTTCCTTTTTATAACTTTTTTTTTTTTAACTGTTTGTGAGCTGTTTGAGGCTTTGCATTTATTATTTTTAAACTGGCAAAACAAGCTTTGTTAACACACTTTATGATGTTTATATTTGTTGTATTTGCACTATAAACTTTATATATAATAATTAACATTTCATCTTGTCTGAGGGGATGAATGAATGAAAAAAAGCCAAAAGCTGAGTTATGTTTTTGTTTGAGTATTTAATAATCACTGAGGGTTAGTATGACACAATGATTCTCCATTATTATTTTTCTTATGCCTTGGTCCTGAGTAGTGTGTGTGTGTGTGTGTGTGTGTGTGTGTGTGTGTGTGTGTGTGTCTGTGTGTGTGTGTGTGCGCACTGCAGGTCGTCAGCTGGGTGGAGCTGAGGTACCATTGTGGTAACCGGGAACATCTGGTCAATGCTCCTAAGTTATTTAAACCCGCCTCTCCAGACGCCAGTGTGTCGAACCCTTCACCATTAACCAAGCTCTGCTCGACTCATTGCAGTTGTTACTAAGTTTGGCGTGCGTCTCCCGCCTGTTGTGGCCCACGAGCACGTTATAACAACAACTATTTTAGCTGACAGGTGGTACGCATGTAAAATGTAAAACCTCAAACACACACACAAAGAAAACAGCATCCATGAAGACTCTAGCAGTAGGTAGCTGCCTGTAGCTGGTGGCTTCAAATTATTTGCATCTGAGAGTAAAAGCTGCTGCTGCTGTTACCTTTCTTGCCTATAGGTGGCGCAGGCTGGCAAACATTGAGAGTCTGATAATGACCCAGCAGCACCAGCTTGTGCAGAAGCCTGCTAAACATGAATTAGTGGGTTTGTGAGTGAGTTAGAAACTTATTATCTGCTTCACAGCTAGACAAATACATTCATATTTTAAGTAGATATTCCTCTTTTTGTCACCGTGGTTTTCACTTCACTTCACTGAGGGTTAAATCAACCAATGTCTCTGTCTTTAAAATATCCAAATAAAGCCTTTCTTTTCAAGGATAGTATGTATCTTTGAATGAGAGTCGTTGGCTGACTGAAAATTAAAACTACATTTCAGAACTGACCGGTGTTTGTGTAGCAGCTGGTGGTGATTTCCCACCGAGAAGCGAGTCCAGAATCAAAGCCACAACAGCCATCTGGTGATATTTGACTGGAACAGTAAAAACTGATTAGACGGAGGTACTGCTCGCTCTCTGGTCATCTCATGCTGTGTTAAGGCCTCAGAACAGAACCCACATACAAAGCCTGATTTACTTCCTAACGTCAGTAGGAACGAGGCTGCTTTGCGTAGTGGCGGGGGTCGGGGGACGAGGGAGGGGGGGGGGGTTGAGTAACAATCTTTAACAGCCGACAGTCCAAAGAGGTAACACAGGTTAAAGTTCAAAAAGCTGAATGATTGATCTACTTCAAAATGCAGAGACGCAACTACTTATGAATGATATGGTATCTCCACCGTGGCTGATTTCACTTTTCTTTTTTTTTTATAAATCTAACTGCAGTGAATGCTCGTACAAACACTAAGACACAAGCCACAGCTATGATTACCTCTGAGCTAACATTGTCAAAAAGCCCCAATTAAGCAACATCTAAAAAAACAGTCAGAGGATCACAAGACATTCTCGGTTACATCCTTGACAGCAGGAAAAGCTAGTCTCAGGGAGACCCTGTCCTCGTCACAGCACGGGATAAGAAGCACTTGGATCAGAAGAAGCACTAAGTCATGCAAAAACACAAAGCTGAAACAAAAAAATAAAAGCATCTGTAATCTATAATACAATAAAAACAAAACGTCAGATATGAGCTGAAACAACTGTCAGGGTAAGTTTCTTCAGAAGCTCGGATAGCGTCACCTGACACCTGATTGTCCATGTGAGTGTCTCCACAATGACACGGTTTTAGTGGATACACGACTCCTGTGAATCTAAGACAGGAAAATCAAAGTTTTCCTGCTTCACTCCTGATCGCTGAAGGGCTTTATCTTACAAATACGGGCATGCATCAGACCGTAAGACAATCACTCCACAAGAAGGCCAAGTTAGAAAAAGGATAAAAATGTGATCTTTCAACAGAGAAAGATGTCAAAAAGCATTGCTCTGTCAAGATATTGTACAAAACGATGAGCAGACGGACACCTGAGAACAATCGAAAAACGTGTATTATCCACAACAGGAAACAGTCGGTTGCAGACGCCGCTGAGGTTCAGAAAGTCCAGCCTGTTGAGGTGCAGCGAGGGGGGGAAAAAAAAAACCCATCAAGGAAAGGCTTTAGTTCATTTTTCCACCTGCGCAACTGACCTTACTCATACAAACAGCCATTTTGATCACTAAGCTTGACAAATTACCTGCATGATTGACATAAATATGCATTGAACTGGCCTCCTGTCAACAAACATTTCATTTTAGAGCCAAATAGTTTGAATTCAGCAGGGATGTCAGCTTTGTAGTTAATTAGCTACTCCCTAGACTCCGGTAGCGATCAATAACGGACCAAATGTATTAAAAAAGTGAACCAATATCCTTGCAGAGTCTTGAGATCCAGTTAGTTTTAGGTTTGTGTTTTGCTGGAGAATCAGTGGCACTGATATGATGTGTATCTGGGCACACGACAGGAGCGCAGACCTGCATCGGGCTCGCTCTTCCACACAGAGATCCAAAATGGCTGCCATGTGAATAAGGTTATACGGTTTTACACAAAATGAGGTCACAACGGTACTTTGTTATATGCCCTGAAGAAACAACATATACCTTTTAAAGCTTTTCTGATTAAAAATAGAGGATATTCATACTTTTTTTTTTTTATAGAATTCTAAATATATAGATTTTTTTTTCCTGCAGTGAGAGGATTGTTAAAGATTTAAATGATAAAACACAATAAAGAGAATAACAATAATGATAATAATGACAATGAAAAGATAAAATAAAAAAATCTCTCCCCTAGAGGATAAAACATCGCTGTCAATCAGTAGCTGTGTTTGTGTGTGTAAACAGTGCATTACCCTTCCTAGTTATTACCTTCTCTTTTGTTCTCCGATAATCTGTACATTTATGCAGAAATAAATAATTCACAGGTTGTGCATACATATTTGTTTAGCATATACTGGCTCTCAGTTGGGATATATATATATTTTTCTTTTTTTTTTCCGAAATTATTTTGGCTATGAAGAACAAAAGAGGTGAGTTGGTGAGAGAAAACCTGAGATAGTGTACTTCAAGTGATGTGAGTTTCAGTTTGTGTCTTTCTGTACAGTTTATGGTTCTTCTCTTTTTGGCATAGATTATGTAGAAAATGAGGTTGATTTTTGGCTTTACTTAGCGTGGTAATAAAAAAACAAAACAAAAAAAATAAAACGTAGGGGAAAGGCCGGGGGTTTGTTAAGACAATGAGTTGCTGGAGGTTGAGGTTGAGGTTGAGGTAGGTGTGTTCTGTTGCTGCTGTGAAGCAACACGACCGCTGACTGTCTTGTTGGAGGCGGACGATCCAGCTGCACCGGACAAGGCCGACCCTGCTGCTGCCTGAGCAAAAAGAACGCCTAGAGAGAAAAAGATATAAAAACCCCAAAAACGAAGGTTAGAATACAAAGTCTGTTTGTAGGAGGAGATTAGACTACAGTACAATAAAGGCTGGACGAAAGGGGGAAACAGAGTAGCTTGGCTCTCTTTAAAGTTATTTAATATTATTACTTATTTATAATATTATGGTTGTTTGCTCTTGATGGTACCAGATGCATCAATAATACTGTGACAGCGAGGTTCTGGGACGTCAGATTGAGTTCAGATTAAAAGGTCCAGTGTGTAGGATTTAGTGGCATCTAGCTGTGTGGTTGCAGATCGCAAGTCTGTTGCTTCACCCTCCTCCTCCAGGCACTAGGGAGAAACTACGGTGGACACAAAACGTTTCTGTCTAGAGCCTGGTTTGTCCCTTCTGGGCTACTGTAGAAACATGGTGGTTCAACATGGCGGAATGAAAACATACTAAATAGATCCTCCGAAATGTTACACACTGGACCTTTAAACAACACATTAATTAGTGATTGTCGAGCTGTTGGTAGGCAGATTTGTTAACTTTAGAGAGAGCAAGGCCAGCTGTTTCCTTCTGTTTCCTCAACACGCAGTCATGTGAGAGTCGATGTTCTCATCTTAGTCTCAGAGAGACATGAAACATGAAAGGAAGTGATCAGCTGGACTTCCTGTTCAACACGACAGCGATACTCACCAGTGTACACCACTCCATTGAGCTCCACCGACATGCTGATGCTGCTTGTGCCGTTGGTGGTGAGGTTCAGGGCAGAGTCCTGCCTGCCTTCTGTAAGGAGGACACGCACAGGGCAGAGATGTGTTAAGAAGACCCAATCACTTACACAACAAATTCAGAAGACAATATTCCCTCACAACGCAGACGACTTTCCGAAACATTTCTCTGAAGTCACCTGTATTATCAGTACTGAGAAACAGTTTGCGTGTTCTATCAGATAACCTTGCTATACGATCAAAGAAGGGAATCCCCAGACCAGACAAACACACACATGTTCTGTGTGCATGCATGCATCTGTTCCTATAAGTTATTCAGGTCAGCATATAGGCCTGCTTCCTCACTGTTGGGCGCTGTGGTTTGTGGTGAGATGGCAAGAATGTCTTGAGATACTAACTGCCAGGAAGTGTAAAAATGTTTGAAATCCATCTCATGTGAATTCTGGGGTAAAACAATGAGTGAAATCCACAATAATTCCCACAGCAGTAGCATAGACTATTATATACAGTATATAGTAATGTGACTGTTCTGGTAACATTTTTTAGTCTGATGTAGCAGGTAGATTTTCACATTCCTCAAGGCAACACGACGCAGCCTCTTCTATTATTATTACATTACGGCAATGTCATTCATCACCAGATGTTATCAATTTATTTTATGTCGATAATATGCATATATTGATGTCTGTTGAACCAAATGATACTGATCCTATCTGCTGCATCCCGTCACTCAGACAGAAATAGATGGCAGTGTATTAACTTTATTGAATTTAACATGGAGATTAATATTCATATTAACTGTCAGACCGAAGATGAGATTTGCTTTTATCAAGACAGGATAGTGTGGTTTCACCAGTAGTCAGAGATCACAGAATTGGAAATTACACTTTCCTTTTGCATCAGTGTGGTGACACAATCAGCCCTTTAAAATCAATCAATCTGACTGGTAGCTTTGCTTTTCTCATGTTAGCTGAATATATGAGACAGTGTGAAACGCTGTGTTCAGTACCTTGGTTATTGATGCGGATGTTCATGGGTATCTGAGCGGTCATGGCCAGCAGGTTGTGTTGCAGCGCTCTCTGCAGCAGTCGGTGGTGTTCCTCAGCAGGCAGCGCCATCTTCTTCTCCGGTGGCTCGCCGGCCTCCAGTTTGTCCCTCAGCTGCTCCAGAGCCGCCACCTGAGCCGCCATTGCTGCCTGAGCCGCCGCTGCCTGCACAGCCGCCACAGAGTGACCCGCAAAGGCTCCCACTGGCAGACGAGCCATTCCGATTCCCGGCAGCGACTGGCCTCCCTCCTCTTCTGACCGGATACCACAGAGAGGGAGAGGAACTTAAGTCAAGCACACTCAGCTGAACATGATGAGTTATCCAGGCAGGATATATATTATGTTCCTCCCCTGACCACACTGACAGAAAAACAGCTGGTTTTTAAGATGCACACTACGTTACTGCTTAGAGAGGAAGCAAATCAAACTAAAAAAATAAGCATCTGCAACATCTGCTTTCTGGTAGTAAATACAGAGGTGGAGGTGCCTTGAGTATTTATTTATCTGACAACTTTTAACACAAATATCTGTGCTTTCTACTTCTTAGAGTTTAAAAACAGGCTAGTTACTTTAGTTAAGCATTTTAGGGGAATTATCGATTACTATTATTAATCAAGACCTGTGCACTCTGAGGTGCCCTTGAGCAAGGCACCTAACCCCTAACTGCTCCTGAAGTGCAGCTATGTGACGGTCTATCACTCCACCATCTCTCCACATTTGCATGTCTGTAACCCCTAACTGGACGTAGGCAGTTTTTCCTTGCCCTTGTCGCCAAGTGCTTGCTCATGGTGGTACTGTTGGGTCTCTGTAAATAATGTTTTAAAGAGTTCGGTCTAGACCTGCTCTATTTGAAAAGTGTCTTGAGATAACTTCTGTTATGAATTGGCACTATACAAATAAAATTGAATTGAATTGAATTGTTCTTCTTTTTCTGTATCACACATGACAGACGTAACAAGATGAAAAAGATGTAAGAAGATGAAACAGGCAAGAGAGGGAGACACGACCCGATTTGAAGTTTCAGTTAACTACTTGAGTAAAGAAGTTAAATCAGTACTTCTACTTGAGGAAATAATGTGTGTAATTCTGCTGGAAACACAAGGTAGTTACTGGTACTAGGGTCGATATATTCATTTCTTAATGATAAAGGCAGGTTTGAACGATTGTCATTGCAATTTTCAATAGACCTTTTTCACAGCAGCCATTTTGACATGAAATAGTAGGGTAAACACAGGTGTTACCAGTGAAGCAGCATGCACAAAAGGAGCACCCTGACTCTGTTTGACCTAAATGGAACAGTCCTTAATTAGTATAACTGTATATAACACCTGTGTTTACCCTACTATTTCATGTCAAAAAGGCTGCTGTGAAAAGGGTCTATTATAATGTTGCGACTAACCCATCTACTTGTCAAACTAAAATCAGTCATTAAATGTTCTAACGACCTCTTTCAAGCTTCAGTTAATCCCATGTGACGTGAGTGCAGCATAATACACGAATCCCACCTTTCTTGATCTTCTGGATGGGGGTCAGCGAGGACCCGTTGGTGCACACCGGCAGGCCCACACTTGGCGCGGGGAGCTTCGGCGACGAGAGCATGGTGGGCGTCCCGTTGGGCGAGTAGGTGAAGAGGGAGCTGCCGAAGCTCTGTCGTCGGCCCTCCCGCCGGTTACTGTCGATGGCTGCCTGGAGCTCGTTGGGGTTGCTCAGACCCCTCTTATCACATTCATATGGGTACAGGTACTTCATGTATCTGGAAAGAACACAATAAATGTATTTATGTGCTGCTGAAAATGTCAGAATCATAAAACTTCAGCTTTTTCACACATTAAGATAAATTTCCTCATAATGACGACGATTACTCAGCATGTGAAAACAGCTGTGTAATGTCTGGAGGAGCTGGAGTCCAGTCATGAGGGTCTAATGAAAGATAGGGTTTGATCTATTGTTTTTGAGGTTTCACTCATACTAGGGACTAAAAGTCTGCATATGTCAGTGTCTACAGCTTTGACTGTTTACTAATTTGTCTGTCACAAGTGCCCAAATGTTATGGAAGTACCCTTTTAAACACCTTATAAGAGTTACCATTAAATGAATGGCTACAGTGAATTAATCAGCACTAAAATAAAAACACAGCTCTTAATCATACAACATATTAAGTGATGGACAATAACTTAAAGTAACATATTTGAAATTGCATTCTCATGAGAAGTGATCAGTGCTGCTGCCATCTGAACAAACTACAGGAAATGACCTAATTGGTAAAACAAATGGTTGTTGACATCTGATAGTCAGCAGCGCCACATGCTTGAAACACTGAGCAGAACAAAAGGATTATGGGTATAGAGAGTTCTGGCTGGCAAGATTACAGTAACCAAAGCTGATCAATAAATTAGCTACTTGTAAGTTGTGTTCTGTGTGTGTTCTGTGTGTGTGTGTGTGTGTGTGTGTGTACGGACTGTGTGCGGAGGGTGAAGGCTGCACTGGTGATTGAGGTAGGCAGGTTGAGTCCTTTGGTGATCTCCCTCCACAGTTTCTTGTTGATGACCTCCACCAGGCCGCCCTTCTCTGTCACCAGCCTGTAGAGCATGTACAGATCCAGGACCTGCTTGGCCATGATGGGAATACGGTTCACTGGGGTTCCTGGAATAACACACAGAGGGAAAAAGGTCAACACAGAGACAAAAAAAACAAAACACTGTCATGGCAGGAAATTTCTTTTCATGTCGACAGAAACATCTTTCTCTTGCCGGGAATCTTTGAGGTTTGACACATGTTTGACAGTACAGGCAGATGGACGCTTTAACCATTTTACCAGCCAATTACAGGTTTAAAGGTGACTCATAATGATGGTGCTGAGGTATAATAACATATAATAATAATAATTCATTCAGCTTTAACCACGGCAGGAAGGATGCGAACAACAAAGATTATATAAAATAATGATGAAAGAAACCTCTGTTTGTTCTCTGTTAAGTATGACGATGTTAATGGAAATATTTTCAGAATATACTTGTAGTTCTCCTATGAGATGACAATATGAGTTTGAGATCTCTGGTTTAAATGTGTCTCACACTGGCTGATATTACTCAACCTGACCAGGGTATTCTTGTCTTCAAACTACAGATGTCGTGAGTGTTAATGACATATGGAGTATGAGACAAAATGCCTTGGGACAAGACCTAATCAATACCTACAATTTGGTATTAATCTGTGACACATGCCCTTTTTTCCTCAGCACAGAAAATCAAACCCTTCATTAATCTTTTCATCAAATTATTTTCATTAAGACACAAAGTGATCCCAAACACAATTTATTTGACACAAAATATGATCCATCCATCTATTCCCCACCCAGTTATCGGTACGACCTGCAGATGGCGCTCTCAGATTCTCAGAGCGGACCCATTGCCCGTGTCTCTGACATTGTAAACATCTAGTACTGGTTTTTTAGTTGTGAGCACATGTCTGATGTCTGCGATGTCAAACGTCGGCCCGCTGAAGAGACAGCAGTCACCTTTTCGTTGTTGTAAATTAAAAAGGCTGCTTGGTATTTATGAGGAGGGGAAACGTCTGAGATTAGCCGCTGGGCGTTTTGTGACAATGCTCTGTTTGGATGAGGAATTTTTTGGGCTCAGTTCGCAGTTCTGATGTTGTGTATGCGTGTGTGTGTCTGAAGACCCTGTGGCTGAGTCAGTGTTTGTGAGTGTGTGTGTGTGTGTGTGTGTGTGTGTGTGTGTGTGTGTGTGTGTGTGTGTGTGTGTGTGTGTGTGTTAGATGTGTGGGCAGGCAGCAGGATGGGAAGGTAAACCAATCCATCCCCAGGCATTGATACGACATGTCCCTTCTCGTTATAGCCTGGGAACAGCAAAGGGGCTGCGCAACTATAAAGCAATCATCTCTGAAATGAATAAAGACCCCACCCATGTGAGTGAAAGAGGAGTAGACGGCGCTGTGTCGTATGTCAGACAGAGAGACGAGGGGGGGAGGGGGGAGATCATCTCTCTCTATATATCCAACTATTAAGAGTCTCTCTATGACGCAGGCTGGAGATGTAATATGGCGAGATAAGAATGGATGTAGGTTTTATTTTGATGATTGTGTGTAACTGGACATCAGTACATCACATTTGCTCACACACACACACAGCCTACATACCTCTTTTTGCATGAAGCTGAAGAGGTCATCCAGAAACTCTTTTCTCTTTGGGTCTCTATCCAGTTCATAAAGCTGTGGAGAGGAAGAGGAGAGAGACAGATGAAGCAACAAGTAATGATTTTATATCTAACAACACCATCAACAAAAGACACAGAAGAGCTCTGCTGTCACACAACAAACATCCAATCAGTAATGATGCATCGAATAGCTAACAGAAAATGTCCTCAATGCTCCCACTGTTACTGGAACAACCCATGCCAGAATGTCTGACAACAAGATGACCACGCTGTGTAAACAAAAACATAAAAACCTGGTCACTTTTATAAAACAGCGACACAGACATTCAACGCTAAAGACCTGTCATGAGAAACCAATCAGTTGCCCTCTGATCATGAGAGGAGATGGCAGAGAGTACTTAAAGAAATGTAAAAGACCAGTCGGGCTTGATGAGAACCTCATGTGGGTTCCAGCTCATAGCGGGGCCCCGGGCTCTGGAAAGTTTGGTGAAAGTTAGCAGTAAAAGTTGGGGCGCCCGCTCTGGGGGAGTACAGTGAGGCCATTGAGTGCGTGGTTGTTTTTCCAGCCTAGTTTGCCAGTGTGATAGTGAAATATCTAAATATATTGGAGGTCTTTCTATTTTTGTGTCCCCACACTTGATGCTCTCTCAGAGGTGAGTGAAGCAGTGATAGAGCTTCTGTATCATGACTCTGGGTCAGCTGGGTTCACACAGTTATATCTAACCAGCCTAGATTGAGTAAAAAGAAGAAGGTCTTAACACATACCACGCCACACACAGTATCTACGTGAGTTTCATAATCTTGTTCTTGAAAATGACACATAGTGTACAACCACCATCAAACAAAGTGTTGTTACTACACAGACACGACAACCCTCAGATTGCAAACCAAACCACAACTAACCCCGAGTCCATTAATTGTTCCATAGAAAACTAATCAGCTGCTGTTTTCAGAATTGGTTAATGACAAACATACTCTGGTCTCAGCTTCTCAGTTTGAAGGGGTTGTTGCTTGTTTTTGACAGTACATTGAATATCTTTGGGTTTTGGACTGTTGGTCAGACAAACCAAACAACCTGAAGAGATCATCCGGGGCTTCAGGGAAGTCATTTTCTTTACTCTTTTCTGATACGTTACAGACTTAAGAGAGAGAGTCTTATGTACAAATGTCCAACACCGAAAAACTGTTAATATGTGCAGCTCAGCATACAAAAAGACTTTATATTAGGGGCATAACTTATGACTATTTTCATTATTAATTAGTCTGCTGATTATGCAATCCTTTAGTCTATAGAAAAATGCCCATTACAATTTCTAAGAGACTAAGATGACCAAAAGTCAAAATCTAAAGATATTCAGTTTATGAAGATATAAAAACAGAAAAAAGCAACAAATCCTCCTGGAGCAAGATGATTGACCTTTTTACTTTTAAAAGGACTAAAATCAATCTGAAAATAATTGTTGATCAATTATCTGTCCATCACCTAATTGATTTGTTGGCTACTTGTTCCAGATATATTCTTTATTTTAGAAAATGTCCTGTAACATTTATGGCTGCATCACTGATAATTTCACCATTGAACAAGTATGTGTGAGTTTAATCGAAGAAACTTGCGAGCTCATGTGACATTAGACTAAAATCTGACATACGGAGATTAATCCCAATTTACAAGCTAACCTCCGCCGCCACGTCAATAACTTCCCAAACAGTCAGTCACTTGAAGATTTCAGTGTTTGCTTTAAGCGCTCGGCCAGAGAGAATGAAAGTCTCGTCCAGCTGAAGTCTGGTATGATGGTGACAGTAGTGGCCTCTAACCACAAACAGACTGTCCCTCGTTGTGGCATTCAGCCCTCATTAGTGACACCAAGCTGCCATCAGATCTTATTATGTAGTGGGTAAAGGGGGAACAGAGGGGTGGGGTCTGTGAGACTGAAGAAGGTTGAGGTGGATGGTGCTGTGGGGGGATGCCGGCTAATGTACAGGCCTGCTGGAGGCAAGGGGGAGTTTTAATTACAGGATGCATGCATTTCGTGAAGTGCCGCACCATAAATCTTTGAAATTACACCCCCCACCCCTGAACTCCCATTCCCCCACGTTGCTTTATTTCCTCTCCCCCTCTCTCTCTCTCTCTCTCTCTCTCTCTCTGTTCTGATCCCACAAACAAATATTTCCCTAGTGGCGCGGTGGGAGCGCTGTCACATGGAAACAAGAGGGCTAATACTCAGATCGCGGAGTTCCTCCAGTGCTCCAGATGTGCTGCTCACACATTTTTATAATTTTTATATTTAAGTATTAAACATAAAATAATATGTTTTAAATTCTGAACTCACACACGTTTTTATTTACTGACACAATCTATCACCGTAAGCGACACTAAACAAACTTTTAGAACTGAGATATTTATTCGATCATTGTTCATTCACAGCAATTTAAAGACATGTGTTACACTGTTGAAAGGCAGTGTGTTGATTAGTTTCACTGTTTCCCTGCCAACTATATGAGCTTGAGGTCTACAGTGAAGTGTGAACTGTGTTAACACGCTCACAGTATCCCTCTTACCAATACATATCCAGTTTCAAGTCTCACTCAGTATTTGCTGTAAACATGGACACGATATCCCACTTGTATCCATGAACATGTAACTAATAATCTAAATTATTGCAGCTGTTACTCTCTGTTTGCGTCTGCCGCTATGTTTCTAACACTGGATTGTACTTTTGAAGGTTCAACCTAAAAAGATCTGGGATAAAGGACAGTATTTAGGACACAGAGATCCCTACTGATGAACATTATGCATAGAACAATTCAATACAATTTGTTAAGCAACATGATTTTAGCCTTCACAGCTTCATACAATCCGATAATAGACTAATGTGCATGAACTGCAATATTCTTCAATTATTCTAATTAATACAATACACACCTTTTAAATATAATTCTAGTTACCTCAGCCTGAATAAGTGTACCCTCAGAGTAGCATAAAGAATGAAAATGGTTCCAATCAAATTCCTGAAGAGGATTTAAGTCCTAATCATGACTGTAAAGCAATTTTCACTGCAATTGCAGACACCTACCACAATCAGCGTGCTAAATAATGCATGCTCTGCCATCTAAATCTCTTCACGTGTATAGCTGTGAAGAGAACAGCATGAATGAAACGTGCTAAAAGGTAAATCATGTTAGCACCATGACAGAAAGGTTGGGTGTGGAGTTAAATACTGGTATCAGGCTGTGCTCTGTAGCAGGTAAAGGAAAATATATATTAAAAGAGCTCTGCAAGCTGCCTATGGAATCAGTTTGTCTCATTTAGAGCCACGTCTGTGTTAACATAATCCCTGATGAGTACATCTTAATCAAACACCATGATGAGAAATGAAGGAACTAAAATGCACTGAACAGTGTTTGACCAGTGGCTGCAAATGTACACATCACTCTTTATACAATATATTCACTTTAAAACATGTCAACCTGCGGCTCGGACAGACGCCGGTAATGGACCAGCTGCATTAAGGAGAGCAATAGCTGTTATAGGACTGAAGTTGGAGGCTTCTGCAATCAGGATCCTGTCCAACCAGTAAGACCACTGCCACCCCTCATCCCCCAGTATACATTTCTTACAGTCTTCCTATATATGTTTTTCCTCTTTGTCTTTTTGTATCTGTCGATCTCTTGCCTTTACACACCTTCTACCTTTCTCTCCATTTGTCCCTCACGTTTCCCGCTCAGTCTCTCTCAGCTCCATGTACCGTATATAACCCATATGTACATTATAACTCCTCCCACTACACACACACACACACACACACACACACACACACACACACACACACACACACACACACACACACACACACACACACACACACACACACACACACACACACACTTTATCAGGCTGAGGTGGGTGTGGTTATTGCAGGCTTACATAGGTTTTCATGTCTATAGTATGTGCACTGGGGCAGGGGCCCCTCCTGGATTAAAGCTCTGCTATTCAGATAAACGACAAGAAACTAGATAAACGACTAAAAACTGGGCCAACTGGTAACGCTGGGAGTCAGTTCACGCCCCATCACCAAATGCCCTGAAAGGAAAAAGCCCATTAAATACAGCAGAGCTGACTAGACGACCAGAAGGCACACTTCCAGATCATTTAATAGGCCTAAAATACAACTCTCTCTGCTCTCTGCAACTTTTTCCCACACTTTAAAACCAGTACTGGAAAAAAATGAGCGGCGATTACAGATGACACAGATGTTTGTTATAGCAGACTACTAGAAGATTGTTCTGGTGACAAATGGTGTAAAGTTAACCAGATGCTGTCTGGTTAGCTGCTAAAGTACTATTTGAACAAGTATTTAGTGTTCAACTGTCTGTGTATGTAGGTCAGCGACAGCCGGGCTGCAGATAAATTATAAACAGGCCCACAGAGACTAAAGTGGTTTTATACAGCAAATAATCAGTAACCAAAGAGCAGCCTGTTGCTTTGCAGCCATCAAAGCAGTGGTTGGTGGTCGTGGTGTTGGTAGGTAATACTGTAAGAGGGGGTGGGGGGGTGTATGTATGTATGTATGTGTGTGTGTGTGTGTGTGTGTGTGTGTGTGTGTGTGTGTGTGTGTGTGTGTGTGTGTGTGTGTGTGTGTGTGTGTGTGTGTGTGTGTGTGTCGGGGGAGGGGTTCACTTGACCGTTAATGCAAATGGCAGTTAGCAAGCCAGCAGCACACAAGTGTCACATAGCACATAATAGAGGCTTTGCAACTGAAAACCAAAACTGAGAGGAGACCGGGGTATCGTCTACATGCTCCCTTACACCTGCCAATCACCTCGATCACCCCGAGGTGAGGCTGACACACAAACATGTACACACACAAACACACAAGGGGTCAAAGTTGATCTGTGCAAGTTCAATAATATATCCTCCATATGATGAGCTCCCATCTCCTTATTTAGGCTGTTATTGTTTAGATTACTGGAGGTTGACCTCTTACTATTTTCATTTACAAAAAAAAAATTATAGTCAAATTGTAAGAGGTATTTTGCATTTCCATAATGTGTATT